CCCCAAAACCCCAAAACCCCAAAACCCCAAAACCCCAAAACCCCTCAAATTTCATAATTTTGAGATTTTAAATAAAACCAGAATAATATGGATACAAGTTTGGACCTCAAAATATTATTTATCGTTTTTATATTCATCATTGCTCTCGGGTGTGGTCTTCTGCCTTATTATATTAAGTCATGAAGTAAGAATAGGACATGGCTAGGAATCGCAAATGCATTTAGTGGTGGTATCTTCCTCGCAATAGCATTATTGCATATTATCCCAGAAGCACATACACATTACTTGATTTATATGCACAGTGATGCTGATCAAGGGCATGATCATGCTCCAAATTCAGATGTGCAGCATGGAGCTCATCTCAAGCTCGGAGGGAATGCTCCTAATGTCCACAGAAACCTTCATGGAGTGGGTGGAGATCATGAATTACTTGAATTAGGGTTTCCATTGCCTTACTTTTTGGTATTTTGAGGGTACACTTTCATCCTCCTAATCGATAAGGTGATGTTTGACTCCCATGCACTAGTACATGATCATGGTGATAATAAATGGAGGGATTCTTTCAGGAAATCCTTGGTTGATCCTAAGAGGAGCAGTCAAACCCATTCCAGCTTCAATCAAGAAATCAACGGTAAAAAGATGTATGAAGATGAGAAGAACTACAATGAATTTAGAGATGAAGATGACAATCAGACTGACCAAGAAGTAGAAGAAGATGTCAATGAAGGGATCAGAAGATTCCTGTCTAAAGCTGATAGGTTTAGCGCAAGAATTGACTCCGAACTTTCTATGAAATATCGAAAAGGCAGAAAAAGTATTAGGAATATGTCTATGAAATCCCATACAGGCGACCCTATCTCAAATGGAGTCATGGCTCAGAGAAAAGAGTTTATGGAATCAGAAAATAATCAAGATGATGGTTCGAGAGGGTTTAGCTGCGATCTTACTCCTTATATATTAATGATCGCTCTTAGTGTACATTCAGTATTCGAAGGTGTTGCTGTTGGGCTAGAAGAAGATCCAGCAGATATATGGAGTTTTCTGATAGCTATCGGAACACATAAGTGGGCAGCAGCTATGTCTTTAGGGATAAGTATGAGCTCAAATGTTAACTTGAGTCCTTCTACCATTAAAATATTGATTCTAATATTTGCTCTATCAACTCCCATAGGAATTGTGATAGGAATGATAGCGATGGAATCTTCAGCTTTGGTCAATATTGCATTTTCCAGTTTAGCAGGAGGCACATTTCTCTACATTGCAGCTAGTGAAGTTGTAGTTGAAGAATTTTCTGTACCTACCAAGAAATGGTTCAAGTTAGCAGGTTTCATTATTGGTGCACTCCTAATCACCTTTGTAACCAGTATGGAAGAACAGTAATTAATCAATCACAAGAGTTTTCAATAAATGTTTTAATTTAAGGGGTTTTGGGGTTTTGGGGTTTTGGGGTTTTGGGGTTTTGGGG